ATCCGGCGCTGGCGCGGGCTTTGTTGCCGGAAGAGCCGCGCTGGCCAGGCCCCGCCCCGCGGGGAGGGACACGTGGCTTTGTTTACCAGCGCCTGGACCTGGAAACTTGGGCGCTGGCGCCGCCTTCTCCCGCCCCGGACTCGGGGACCTGCGCTCCCCTCCGCTGCGCTCCCCACCTGCCGGCCCGGGCTCGGGGATGGGGAGACTGTGGGAGCACAGCTGCGTCCGGCTGTCTTGGGCAGAAGCCCGGAGGCTGCATGTGCCAGAGGAAGAAGGCACCCCCCCCGCATCATCCCCGGTTCAGGCTCCCGGTTAGCATCGCTCCCGGGCACAAGCCTTAGGGTCGGGGCAGATGAGAAGGCCCCTTGGGAAGCACAGCACTGAGGGCTTGGGGCAGAGGTCCCAGACCAGTTCCCCGAGCAGGGGCAGGGAGCAGAGCGTGCTAGACAGAGCTCGCGGCCCTCCTGCCCAGCGCCATGACCAGATGAGGGGCAGGAAAAAGGCCCCTGGGCAGAGCCCCCTTCCTGGTGAGGTGGGCTGGTCGCTTGGCTACGACCAGGAGCAGGTCGTTGGACTCGGGGATGGGGAGTGCAGAAGCGGGGTGCGGGGAGCCAGGCGGCTAAGGCTGGTGCATGCCAGGGTCTCCTTAGGCTCGCGGAGCGGGTACTGCGTGACATAGGAGACTGAGCTGGATGGACCTGTGATCTGACTCAGTCCATGGCAGTTGTTATGTATGTGTGTGGCTTGGGGCGCCAGATCAGGGGATGGAAGGGTGGGAGGACGAGATCTCACATCGCTTCAGCCCTGTTTGCTATGCAGAGGACAGTGTGCTCAGAAAAGTATAAGCCTCCCTCAGGGAAGTCATTGGATACCTAACACTTGAATACTGGGGATGGGGCAGATCCCTGCAAGGGTCGTCAGTGCGGGCTTTGATTGCTGCTCCACCCAAAGTTTAATGCCAACTGCCTGGCAGTTTTTCTAGTCAGGCAGCACTGAGGGAGTCCAGTGACTTCACAACTCATTATAGGCTATCTGATCTCTCCTAAACTTCATTCCACAGATGTTAATGGCCTTCTCTTTTTTTTAATGGTCTTGATGGTCCACTAGTCAAGCTAGCCTTTGTTCTGCCAAGCTGCTGCCTGCTCGCGGCTCATGGGAGTGAAGCTCCTACTTCACAGCCTTGCAGGTTGTTTTGATCTCTTTCCAGTGAAGTGATACTGTTTTTGTTTCAATCCTAAACTCCATAATACAGCCCTAGGCCCTTAGTGTATTAGTTCAGTTTCTAGCTTATTTCAACTGGAGAAAAATATGTTGTTTTATATGTGACGATGCATCTCAATATCTGCACCTCCCTTTTCAAAATTGTAGATTGGCCCATGACTGGGGACAACAAAAGAGAAAACAGCAAGGGGATTGTAGGTCATAGATTTATAACCAGAGGGCTAGGAAACCAGCCCCACAGTCACCTGGGTTCCCTGTGACAGACACGGTTTCAGGATAGAGGGGATAGAAATCGCCTCCCCCAGAATCAGCTTCCACATGCTCAGGTCTGAAGCCCCAGATGCCACCAAACCCCTTTGCCAGCTGTACCTCAGCTCTAGGAAAGACCCCAGTTCAACAGTGGATGGGACTATTCCTGGAGAGCCCCCAAAACCCTTTCCCATAAAGGGAGGGGATTTCTGTATTAGGAGATGGTTCGTGTTGGTCATAGCCTTTGGGATGTTGGTATTAAAAAAAAAACCACACACAACAAAAAACCAGAATCTTTGAAAGGAGTCGAGATAAATGAAAGCCCTGGAAGGAGGTCAGCTTTAAAATCATCCTTTTTCAGAGGCTGCTCTGGGAGAGCTGCCCTCGCGCCCCTGCCAGCGTGCGTGTGCCTGTGTGTCTTCTGAAACCATTCCAGAAGAAGAATCCAAAGCGCCGGCTGGAGAAGAGGGCGTGAAATAGCTGTTGCTGCCTCTCATTTGTCCAGTGTTTGGCATTTCCCCTTATGGGTTAAAACAGACGGACCTGCAAGCCAGGACATCCTTTGTGTTGTGCTGCTGACTCCATTTGACATCTCTGTAGCAGGGAAATATATAAATAAAGCCTTGGGGGGCTTGTATAAGACAGAGAGAGAGAGAGAGAGAGAGAGAGAGAGAGAGAGAAGCACCCCCACAGTGGCCTAGCTGTCATAATCCGAGTCACGTTGTCAACCTTTCCTGAGGGGGCTGAGCTTGTGGGATTGCAACAACAGCTGGCACTTGCAAGAGAAGGTGTTATGTTTTCATATTTAAAAAAAAGGGTGGGGGGGCTTTAAAATACCAGCTGGTGGTAAATACAGATCTGTTAATGTAATGCATCGCTGTTGGAGCTCTGCGGGTCTGAAAGCAGCAGGCATATGAAAGGGAGCGAATTCCAGATGAAGGCTACCGGAGCGATGTTTGCAGAGTAGAAAACTGAAGAAGCGACGAGTTAGAAAACGAGGGAGCCAGGAACAGCAGCTAACTTGAATAGCTCAGTGAAAACAGAAAATAGCAACCGCTGTGAAGCTGTCTTGTGCCTTTCGCAGCACTGCACTCTCTAAGTCCGTCCTGGGGCAAAGCAAGACAGATTTTCTGTCTGTAAAGGCGTGGGGGTAGTTCTTTGACATTCAGTTCCTACCACGGCCTTCCTGTGTGAACTCGGGTGATTCACTCTGCACTTCAACTCCACATCTGTAAAACAGGGATGAAAATAATTCTTTTGTCTGGCGTGCTTCTGTTTGAAACACTTCAAGGCACAGGCTTCTGTACTGTGTTAGCGCAGTGCTTAACAGTGTGTTACCAGTAGTAACATGGTGTCCCACATCCAGTCGTGCGGTTGTACCAATGCCCCTTTTAAGTGAAAGGGAGCACCTAGACTAAGAATAATAGGGAGGGATGGAACTGCACTGGGGCTTTGGCAAATCAAGATCTCCCGATGGCTCCTTTTTTACTACCCAACACTGACAGGTTCATGGGGATCCAGCTCCTACTGGGTATGCAGATAGGGTGTGGTAGGAAGTACAATATGTAATGGTCTGTGGTCCATGTTACACAGGCAATGGAGTTATTTAGTGGAAGGGGAGTTTCACAGAGATTTTTTCCCCACTGGTTCATCTCTGATGGGGAAGGAAGTCTCTGGTTATAATTTTGTTGACTATTTTTTGTGGTGAACTACTTACAGAAACACTTCTCACATTTCATGTTACAAATCAATCTAATGCAACAGAGATCAACCACATGTGACTTGCCATCTAGTGCGTTTCAAATTGCAAACGTCTAAGGAATGAGGAACTACCTAGGTCGTGGTGAATATAATGCAAGGAAGGCCAAGGGAGTGATTAACACTTCAAGGATTTACAGGTGACCTTAAGCCTCCTGGAGGGTGAGGCCATCTTCTAATAGCCTTAAAGTTAATTTAGCTTGCTAGGTATGTTTGAATAAAGGCTGCCAGCTGTATATTACTTTGGTACTGTTGATAGCAATGCCTTGCCAAGTAAGTTAAGTCAGTCAGACATATGTCACTGAAAATATGTTCATCCTTTTAATGAGAATCATTTGGCAACTTTTACATGCAAGCCTGATCTGAGCTGTGGAAAGGGAGACACAAACTAGCAACATACACTACAAAATACAGCTTGTTTTCCTGTCAGTTATTCTGCATCAAGATCCAGTGCCGGAAGCTCAGGCTCATCTGTAATGAGCATTTTACATTTATGCTTTTTTAATATTTCAGATTCAGGGCAGAAAAAGTTCATGCAAAGAAATCTTAATGACTTAAGAGGAAACAACTGAAAACATATAGAGCTAATAGTTTAGTGGTTTCCAAGGTTTGAGCTGCAGTCAAGGTGGTATGCTGGCTGGTTTAAGGTACAGTGTTAGATGACAAACTAACTACTGGATTAAAATGACAAAACGTGGTATGTAAAGTGGGTCTGAGTGCTAGATCTGGCATGCAGGAGAGTTGCCACAGCCACTGATGACATCAGAATTGTACTTGTACATGAGAACAACTGGTTCACCAGAACTGAGAACAAAAGGGTATTAATGCTTTTGAATCAGGAAAATACATCTAAATCAAGCCACCATCCTGCAAGCACTTGTGAACATGAAAAATGGAACCGTTCTATATGGCAGTATTGAATTCACAGCTTTTGGGGTGCTAAATGCTATGAAATTAGGAGCAAGAGTATGCATGGAATCCAGAGCCACCTGATGCATGGGCCCATTCCCCAAATTACAGATGAG